CTCCTCCTCCTCCTCCTCTCCTTTTCCTCCTCCTCCTCCTTCTCTAGCCATGCGGCTCAACAAGCGCCTGCATGTCCCAGTGGCTTCCTCAGCGCATTTGTGCATCGCTGCTGCGCCTGTACCGATCATCGTTGCCGCGAGGCTGGAGTGGGTGATGCGGCAGGTCGAAGGCGGAACGGACGTTCGCATCGTTTTGTTGTGTGCAGTATTGTTTGCATCACGTGCGTGATTCAAGATCCTCGTGAGGCACGCCGGCCGCTCGTTCCAGGCTTGCAAGAATATGCAGTTGGCTCTGCTGGCGGTAGTCAGACGGCTGGTGGCCTCTTACTCCGGAGTGGACCGCGGGCACGCATTCCGATTGGCACCAGCGTGGTCTCCATCTGGCTTTCGGCAGGAGCAGATCCGAGCGGCGACCCAACCATGACAACACCAACACAACAGCACAAAAGACCTGCGGTGGTTATCACAGCGGCTGGGAGCACTGAGTGGTGGTTATCACGTGAGTCCGCCTATGTTTCACATGTTTGAGGCCACGGCCTCCACGCCATGCCCTAATGGGCACGGGCGTGCTCCCCGTAGGAGCACGCACGCATCCAGCGCTGGCTTCGCTTCGCTTGGTGTTGGTGCTGATGCTGAGGAGGTGAACGATCAGCAAGGTCCTGGAGATGACGAAGGTGATGCCGAAGACGAAGGAGATGAAGGAGACGTTGCAGACGGTTATGGTCAGCGTCCTAAACCTCCTGCCTCGTCTTCCTGTCGCGATTGTCGTGGAGCACCGCTGCCCAAGGTGCCTCGCACGTGTGGAATTGATGACCCCTGCGGAGCTTCTAGTGTTGGACTTCCCGTTCTTGGTATTTCTACTTCCTCCGGCGGTTCCCCGAGGGACGACTCCGAGACCACACATGACACACGCACCGAGTGGCTCAACATGTTTGATGGCTGCCGAGAGCAGGGCGCCCAGACGAACGCGTTCGACATGGACCTCCAGATGTTGCAGGGTCCTGAGGCCTTGCTTCGCGCCCTCCCTCAAGCTGCTGCTGCCAATCTGATGGAGCAGATCCGTTTGGTCACGCGGGCGTCGCATTACAGCGTTGGCTTGTTTGTGGAGATGTTCCTCCTCAGCCTGATACCGCTCATCTTCCTGTTATTCCTGATGATGATGAGCTTGCTGACCCATGTGGCGAACCTGGCAGGGATAGTTGTTCTGGATGCGTCGCTCTTCCTGGTGAACGTGCCGACTTTCTTCAAGAGCACGTCCTGCTGAGCCGCGCCTGATCGTGCCGATGGATTCCGCGAGCCCGGTCGGGCAGGCCCTCCTTGTGATCTTGGCCGTGAAGGTCGCGACGGGTTTCTTCGGGAGCACGGTCGTGCAGATTTCCGTCATGGGCTCGGGGGTGCAGATTTTCTTCCTGCAGTGGGACGTGACGTGCGGATCTTTTTCCTACGGCTGGCGATGCGGCCTCTCCCGAGCGTGGTGGTGCCTCTTTGCTTCGCGAGCCCGGACGTGCAGTCGCCGTTCCTCTGTTCCTCTTCTTGTGGCCTGGCTGCGAAGATGCACCTCGTGAACCTGATCACGGAGTCCATCTTCATGTTCCTCTTCCGGAGCTCTGGGGTAGAGAGCCTCAGCCTGCGCCTGGTCACTCCGATACGCACCGAGGGAGCCTGCTCGTGCAGAGCATCCGTGTGAGCCTGGCCGCGAAGGTCGTGCAGCTCTTCCTCGAGAGGCTGGTCGTGCAGGCGCCTGCCATGAGCCCGGTGATGCAGCTGCTTTTTCCTGCGGCTGGTCGTGCGGATCTTCCTCCGGAGCCCGGCGGTGCGGACCCTCCCGAGTGTGGTCGTGCCGCTCTTCTGCGTGACCGAAGATCCACGTGTACTCCAGACTTCGTAATAAAAGGGAGGGGGTCTGGACCCTCCAAGACAAGCCATTTCAGACCTCCCCCGTGGGAGAACCCTCCAAAACGTCGTCCCCAGACCCCCCAGGCCCTCCAAGATAACCTGGGAGAGACCCCCACCCCCAAATGAGACCCCCCTCCCTCTGTTACGAGATCTGGAGTAGCATGTCTGGACTGTGCTTCCTCTTCCTCCTCCTCAGGCCCGGCCGACGTCCAGCTCCCGTGGCAAGGCCGTGGCCCTCGACGCCTCGCAGAGGGCCCGACGCGGACGCCCGGCGCCGCCCCCCCTGCCGCCGGGGGGCCGTCGCGGCGCGGCTCGGGGAGCAAGGGCCGGCCTCGGGGCAGAGGTCCTCCGCCACGCGCAGGGGGGGGCCTTCTGGGAAGCGGCCTCGCGTGCGGTCGTGCCGTTCTTCTTCGTGACCGAAGATCCACGTGTACTCCAGACTTCGTAAGAAAGGGAGGGGGGCTCTCATTTCGGGGGGGGTCTCTTCCAGGCTATCTTGGAGGGCCTGGGGGGTCTGGGGACGACGTTTTGGAGGGTTCTCCCACGGGGATGGGGTCTGAAATGGCTCGTCTTGGAGGGTCCAGACCCCCTCCCTTTTATTACGAGATCTGGTGTAACATATTCGGACTGTGCTTCCTCTTTTCCTCCCCAAGCCCGGCCGACGTCCAGCTCCCGTGGCAAGGCCGTGGCCCTCGACGCCTCGCAGAGGGCCCGACGCGGACGCCCGTCGCCGCCCTCTCTGCCGCCGGGGGGCCGTCGCGGCGCGGCTCCCGGAGGAGGAGGAGGAGGAGGAGGAGGAGGAGGAGGAGGAGGAGGAGAGGAGGAGGAGGAGGAGGAGGGGGAGGGGAGGAGGAGGGGGAGGGGGAGGAAGGGGGAGGGGAGGAGGAGGGGAGGAGGAGGAGGAGGAGGGAGGAGGAGGAGGAGGAGGGGGAGGAAGGGCAGGGCCTCGGGGCAGAGGTCCTCAGCCACGCGCAGCGGGGGGCCTTCTGAGAAGCAGCCTCCTCCTGAGCAGCCTCCTCTGATGTAAGGCCGGCGCCTTCTGAGGAGCAGCCTCCTTCTAAGAAGCCCTCCCCCCTCCCCCCACCCCCTTGTGCGCGCCGCCAAGGTCCAGACAGCCAGGGTGAAGTCGGGCCTGCCCCTCTACAGGGTGAAGTCGGGCCGGTCCCTCTACAGGAAGAGCCGGCCTCGGGGAAGAGGTCCAGGCAGCCATCGGCACGAACGAGATGGGCACGGAAAGAGTGGGTGCAATGCCCAACAGCAGTTCCAGCTTAATTTTGAAGAGGATTCGCTGTCCGCGCCGCCGCGGCCCGTGTCTATTTGAGACAGGAGGCCGCCCGCCCAACAGCGGCCGCTGCTGGTTCGGGGCAACATTTGTTGTTGGGCATCGTGCCCACTCTTTCGTTGCCCATTTCGGGCGTCCAACAGCCAGGGTTAAGTCGGGCCTACCCCTCTACAGGAGGGATATTTAAAAATAGTAGAAAATACAAGGGGATTATTTTTTGAGTATCTTTTGGGAACATTCAAAAATAGTCAAAAAATAGTCTGGGGACGTTTTTTCGATTATTTTTGGGCACATCTTTTCAGCATTCTTTGAGTATGTTTTAATTCTTCGCGCAAAATCCCCCTGCAGGGGGACAGGCCCGACCTGACTGTAGGATGCAACAATCACCGCCTCGAATTGGGCACAGCGCTTCTGGGGATGCAGGGTGTCGTCTTTTGTCCTCGCTCTCTCATCCATCCTCCTCCGCTTTCCTCTCTCCGTCCTTTACCACACACGCCATTTTTTGCTCTCTCCCCCTCCTTGCTCTTCTGTGATGCCCTTCCTCATCCTGTTCCTCCTCTCTTATCCTCCTCCCTCGTGCTCTCTACCACTCATCCCCCTCCTCCCCTCCGTGTCGTCCCCATCCCCCATACTGTGGTTTTGACAATCCCCAGGTCGAGCGAATGGTCTGCATGGTCCTCCCCATGGATCTGATTATGTTTTTCATGGGATTTTCCGCGGTGGCAGAAGAACCTGCAGCCGTCAGTGTGGCGAGTCGTGCGCCAGTTTGCTGATGGAGGTGGCCTTGCGCATTAGGGATTTGAGGGGAGACGAGGACAGTGGAGGTAAGACAAGTGGCAAGCGTGCAGAACTTGCGGTCGCGAAAACTCGATGCGCGCGCCTTCCTGCCGAGAAGATAAATGCGCGTCGGTTATCGCGGGGAACGATGCGCGATAGTAATTGCTTGTCGCTTTTCTTCCTCCACCATCAGAAGGGGGAGAGGGAGGAGAGGTGAGCGGGGAGAGGGCAGAGGTTTGGGAGGGCGAGGGAGAAGAAGGGAGAGGGAGCAGAGGGAGGAGAAGGGGGGGAGAAGGATGATCACGAAGAATCGAGAAGGGGGAGGGAAGAGGTTCGGTTGTTGTGGATGTTGGCGCAGCCTCGGGTGTTATTGGTTTAGGGCCAGCTCGTGGAGGTAATTCGGCTTCTCATGAGCTCCCTTGCCATCAGACGTGCTCCCTTTTTATACATATGTTTCTGCGCTACCTTTTATAGCTGTGGAATACGTGTTCCATGATGCCGAGGGGGAGGGAGGAGGAACAGGAACAGGAACAGGAACATGAGGAGGAGAAGGAGGAGGAGGAGGAGGAGCTGGAATTGGAGTTGGAGGAGGAGGACGAAGAAGAAGAAGAAGAAGAAGAGAAAGGAGGAGGAGGAGGAGGAGGAGGAGGAGGAGGAGGAGGAGGAGGAGGGGGCTCTTCGCCGCCGCGGCCTCGCGCTCGGGCCTGGGCGCGGCCCCGCGGCGCCGAGGGGGTCGGGTGCGGAGCAGGCGCGCGGCGACCGCCAGGCGCGCTCCGTCCGCCCCCCTCTCCCGGCTCGTCTGCGCGGCCGCCTGGCGCGGCCCTCGTCCTCTGGACGCCCGAAAGGGGTACACCTTAGGCGATGCTTAAGAAAACCTAAGTTTTCGTCCAGAGTCTCGATTATTCTTAACTTTTCAATGTAAACCCCAAGATTTTGATAGAAGTTCTGGGTTTTATTCCATTTCTGAGACTATGAGTTTCTTAACCCATGATTTCTCAAGCATTTCGGAGGGTGTACGGTAGGTTTGCGTCGTGTCGACCAGCGGCGACCCCAGCGCGGCCGTTTCAATGTTGAACGCCGCCGGCGACCCAGAATCGATCGATGTCGAAGGATCGGACGTTGCGGCAGCGGCCGATCGTTCAAGGTTGAACGATCCCTGCGGTGTCAAGAACCAACGCTGGGGTCGGCACGACACGAACCTGCCGTACTGAAAGAATGGGTACAATGCCCAACAACAATTCCTGTTCATTTTGAACAGGATTCGCTGTCCGCGCCGCCGCGGCCTGTGTCCATTCGAGACGGAAGGCCGCCTACCCAGCGGCGGCCGCTGTTGGCTTGGGACAACCTTTGTTGTTGGGCATAGTGCCCATTCTTTCCGTACCCATTTCGGGCGTCCAAAGCGTCCTCTGGAGGAGTCCTGCCTGGCGCGGGGTGCGGGCTCTCCTGCCGGGGGTGGACAGACCTCCTGCGTGCCCCGAGTCGGCTGCCGCTCCTGGGAGGTCAAGTTCGGATTTTCCCATGGTCTGAAGTCCAGCTCAATCCCGCCTAATCCCGCCTAATCCCGCTCAGTCCGGTTGAACCCCGCTTCATCCGAGGCCCACTCCGGCGTAACAGCCCCCCAATGGGGCTCAATTCTCTTTCATCCTTCCGACGAAGACCTCCCAGTAGTTGCCTCCTGACCCTGACGCGTCGGTTAGCGAAGTGGCCGTTCTTGGTCCGCGAGGGGGCCTCGCGGCCGTCATTTTCTGCGGGTCCAGGTCCGTCCGTTTCGGCCCCAGGCCGTTTTCACCGAAGGGAGGCTTGCTAAAGTGGGGGTTTGTCCACCGCCGATCCTGGAGGTCTTTTTCCCTGCCTCGGGGTGCGCTCCAGCAGCCGCTGCGCCGCGCCCCGAGAGAGAGCGTTCCTGGGCGTGCCCCCGGAGCGCCCCGAAGCGGCCGCCGGAGACCCGCGTGGTGACCCGGAAGCCGAGAGACCCTGCGTGAGAGTGGCCTGTGGTGCGGGTTTCTCACCACCCACCAAACCACCCCAACCCAACTCGAAGGCCTCAATTTGCCCTCCATTTCCAGTGGGGGGGGGTCGGGGAACATTGAGAAAACACACATGGAACCCGTACCCCCCCCAACCCGAAATTCGGGTCTTCGGGTTGGGTTGGGGTGGTCTGGTAGGTCGTCAGTTTCAGGTCGGGCGTTTCCCCTTACAGGCGGACTGTGGACGAGAAGTGAGAAGTAGTCAAGACATGCTCCACAAAATGCTCAAACATAACTTTTGAAATCGTTCCCATACCATGTCTTATATATTTGTTGACGTTCCTCCTGTAGAGGGACAGGCCCGATTTAATGCGAGTTGGGACAACGGCAGTTGGCCTTCGGCTGGGCCCCCCTCGCTCGTCTACTCGGCCGCTTCGGGGCCCTCACTCAGGCCTGGGTTCCCTGGGATTGTTTCAAAAACTGTGTGTAAAGTCCGCTCAGATCACCTTTCTGTCCATCTATCCTGCTATCGTCTCGGCTTCGGTCTTGGACAGTCCCATTGGACAGCACTCGCGCCGCTCATCCCGCGGCGCATGGGAAAAGGGAAAAGGGTTCTCTTCTCTCTTCCCAATCGTCCTCTAGCTACGAAAACACGGTAGGTTCGACTCTTTGGTTGTCAATTTCCGTATACACAGACCACCGCTCTAAATTTGTTTCGGCATGCCCAGAACAGCCACGCCCAAAGCGACCATAACCAAGCCGCCCACTCCAGACTCGTTTAGGCAGACTCAGAAACATTAGAATGTAGGATGCCAACGGGCACTCCGTACGTACGCCCAACGACCCCACACGCCCGCCTTACGCACGCAGGCTTGATTAGGCCTCCCGAGTTTCAAATGATCAGAAGGAACCCGACCTCAGAGGAGAGCGAGGCATCGCGGTGTGCGCAAGCACTGTGGCGTACACAGGCACTCTACGGTAGCATCGTCCACACTGGCACACTGCGTGCACGGAAGTACTCTCGTGTCCATGGGCGCTGTGGTGCACGCCGGCACGTAGTGTGCACAGGCTTTGTGGTGTTCCCCAGAGGTGCTTCCGCGGGTATGCTGCGGCGCCCGCGCGAGACTTGGCGTTGCGGGGGGGGGGCGGGGCCGGTGACGGCCGCCACCGCGGACTGTCTAGACACGCTCCCCAGATCGAGGAGGAAGGGTGGGTGGGGAGCGGGGCGCGCTTTCGCGTCTGGTCCGCTTCCGCGGCCGACCTCTCTCCCTCTCGCCATCCGCTTCGGCAGGGCCGCCTGCTTCCGGCTCGAGCGTCTCACCTGCCAGGTTGCCGCTCCTCAGATTGTCAGACCGCGCCGAGGTCGCAGCAGCAGCCTGCTTAAATCTTGGCAGGCGTGGGGTTGGCGGCAGCACTGGCATTTGGTGCGGCCCCGATGGCAAAACCGATCGTCCGCAGCGTGCCCCGTCTGCAGGCGAGGGTTGAGAGATGCGCGGCGGGCGGAGGAGTGGGCAGGTCGGCGCTAAGGGGGGGGGGAGAGGGGGAGGAAGGGGCGAGGTAAGCGGGGAAAGGGGGATAGCAGGGAGGAGGGGATGGCAGGGAAAACGGGCGGTGGGGAGAGCGGGGGAGGAGCCGGATGGGTGGAGGGAAGGGAGGGGCGAGAATAGGTGGAGGGGGGAAGGGGGCAAGGGCGGAAGAGAGGTGGAGGCGGAGGGGGACGTTGGACAGCGGGGAGGAGGAGCAACTCCGCATGTGGAGGAGGAGGGGCGGGAAGGGAAGCAGTGAGAGCGAGAGGAGGGGGGGGAGAGGAGGACACTCTGCACCCTTTGTCCGTAGCCGCTCCGCTGCGCTGAGAGTGATGACTCAGCGCTGCGCGCTCCAGCGGAAGAACGAACGAGGGGGAGATGGAGAGGAAAAGGCAGAGCACGGAGATCCCATTGCCACCGCATCTTGATTGTAGATGGCTCGCGCACTGTTGCCATCTTGCGGTCTAGGTGGACCGACGAGCCCACAGGTGAAACCAGACCCAGCGCTGACTGAATTTGCGCCTTGACACTGTCATCGAGGAGCAACAACAACTGCACGAGCATGAGCTCTCGGAGGTTCGCGCGGGTTTCTTGAGTCGGCGCTGGGCCCCCTCGCCTCGCCCACGAAATCCGCGCGGACCTATGAACCGTTCGCTACGGGCGTGATGCGCGAAGCTGGTGACCCAGCTTTGTCCTCCACTGGGGTCACCCCTTTTTTGGCAGGTGGATCTCTCAAGCTCTCCGCCGCCTCTGGCGGTGTGCGTTGCCAGCAGGAACACAGCAAAACCGCAAGAAAGCGCGGCATTGACAGAGTAGCTCCGCACACGTGACAGCTGTTAACGAGCAGGAGCGGGCGTGATGCGCGAAGCTTGGTGACCCAGCCCCAGACATGCGACGTCCTGATTTTTTCCGGACGGCGTCCCCGGAAGTCCAGACCCTTCCCCGGGGCCGGTTTTCCATCCTGAGCCGTTTTTTGACGGTCCCGGGGGCCGGCGAGGGCCCCCTGGGCCCCAGGGGTCAAAAATGGTGAAAACCGCGCGTCCTGATTTTTTTTACGACGCGATCATGTCTGGGGCTCTGTCCCCCACCGGGGTCACCCCGGGGGGCGCGGGGACAGCCGCGCTCTGCGCGCCGCAGCCTGGGCCGTGGCAGATATGCCCTCCGAGGCGGCCGCGTGGGGGCGCCAGGGGGCGAAGACGACCGCGCACCCGCGGAGCGCGGCGTGCGAAGCTGAGTGGCCTCCTCCTGCTCTTCCCCTTCCTCCTCCTCCTCCTCCTCCTCCTCCTCCTCCTCCTCCTCTCCACCTACATCCTTTTTCTTCCTCCTCCTCCTCCTCCTCCTCTCCTCCTTCCTCCTCCTCCTCCTCCTCCTCCTCCTCCTCCTCCTCTCCTCCTCTCCTCCTCCTCTCCTCCTCCCCCCCCCCCCTCGACGTCGTGAGGTCCTCACGTCGCAGCCCCCTCTGGAGGTCTCGGCCCGGGGCCCTGCCAGGGCGCCCGGGAGCCGTCTGAGAACCCGAGCTGCTCGAGGACGGGGGAGCCCCGAGCAGATCGCGCCGTCGACCCCCTGGGCTCTGGCAGCTGTCGGGAGGAGGAGGAGGAGGAGGAGGAGGAGGAGGAGGAGGAGGAGGAGGCGGAGGAGGAGGAGGAGGAGGAGGAGGAGGAGGAGGAGGAGGAGGAGGAGGAGGAGGAGGAGAGGAGGAGGAGGAGGGCGGAGGAGGGCGGAGGGAGGAGGGGGAGCAGCAGCAGGAGGAGGAGGAGGAAGAGGAGGAGGAGGAGGAGGAGGAGGAGGAGGAGGAGGAGGAGGAGGAGGAGGAGGAGGAGGAGGAGGGCGGAGGAGGAGGGGGAGAGCAGGAGGAGGAGGAGGAGGAGGGAGGAGGAGGAGGAGGATGAGGAGGAGGAGGAGGAGGAGGAGGAGGAAGGGAGGAGGCGGAGGAGGAGGGGGAGGAGCAGGGAGAGGAGGAGGAGGAGGAGGAGGAGGAGGAGGAGGAGGAGGAGGAGGAGGAGGAGGAGGAGGGCGGAGGAGGAGGGGGAGGAGGAGGAGGAGGAGGAGGAGGAGGCGGAGGAGGAGGAGGAGGGGGAGAACGAGGAGGCAGAGGAGGCGGGGGAGGAGCAGGAGGAGGAGAGGAGGGCGGAGGAGGAGGAGGAGGAGGAGGAGGCAGGAGGAGGAGGAGGAGGAGGAGGAGAAGAGCAGGAGGGAGGAGGAGGAGGAGAGGAGGAGGAGGAGGAGGAGGAGGAGGAGGAGGAGGAGGAGGAGGAGGAGGAGTAGGGCGGAGGAGGAGGGGGAGGAGCAGGAGGAGGAGGAGGAGGGAGGAGGAGGAGGAGGAGGAGGGGAGGAGGGGCGTGGAGAGGGGGAGGAGGAGGGCGGGGAGGAGGGGGAGGAGCAGGAGGAGGAGGAGGAGGAGGAGGAGGAGGCGGAGGAGGAGGAGGAGGAGAGCGGAGAAGGAGGGGGAGGAGCAGGAGGAGGAGGAGGAGGAGGAGAGGAGGAGGGGAGGAGAGGAGGGCGGAGGAGGAGGGGGAGGAGCAGGAGGAGGAGGAGGAGGAGGAGGAGGAGGAGGAGGAGGAGGAGGAGGAGGGCGGAGGAGCCCCGGCGGCCATTCGGGACGATGCGGGCGCGCCCGGGCGCTCTCGGCGAGGCGCAGCTGCTGGAGCGTGCCGCGCGGCTGGAGCGGCCGCCGACAGCCGCAGGCACCTTCCGAAGACCTCGAGCTCCAAATCCGAAGACCCGAGCGCATCGCGCGGTGCGCGATGGCCGAGGACGGGGGAGGATCGAGCGGTCCGCGCCGTCGACCCCCCCCCCCGCCACCGGAGGACGCCGCTGGCGTGAGCGGGGCCAGCGCGGGGCCCCCGGGCGCCGCCCCGCCTCCCTCCCCCCTGTCCTCAAGTCGGGCGTGTCCCTCCACGGGAGGAAGGTTCAAACATGGTCAGAACATAAAATGGGGACAATTGGTTTACTCTTTCTGGCTACGTTTAAGTATTTTTTGGCTATGTCTCACTTTTCCTCCGAAAGCCGCCTGTAGGGGGGACATGCCCGACCTAAGCCTATCCCTCGCTCCCTCACCCTTCCCTCAAACTTTTTGCAGTTCGACTCAAGGCTACGGTATGTCAGAGGTTCGGCGCCTCACGCATCAGCAGGATTTGTTTTGGGGGGCTCCGATTGGGGGGGTGGAAGTCCGGCCAGAATAGTAGGACGTGAGGACGTGGCTATGCCTTCCCGAGCGCCTGAACCAAAAAGCTACGGTGATACATAATTCAGTGATATGTGTATCATGTGTCTCCCCCTGACATGCAGAAACTCCGTAGCTCCGTAGCTGCCTGCACGCCCTCCTGTGCTCAGCTGCGTTCTGGCTATGATGGACACTGCGCAGGTCTGAGGAGAAAACAAACATGTGTCTCGCCCTGCTGCCTGCACGTGCGAAGCCTACGAAGATACGGCACCGGCGAATTTCGTATCCTGCCTCTCTCTCCGCGGATCTGCTCGTGCGGACGCCCTGCGGGGAAGAGAGATTGGATTTGTAGTTGAAGTTCCCCTTGTGGGCCACCTCGGCCCCCAGGACTGGGAAGGAGGCTGTCGAGAAGCCCCAGCAGAGCAGAAGCCTGCCTGGCGGGTGTGGTCAATGCTTGGCTTGCGCCACCACCGCGTGGGTTTTTCGAGGCGTGCCAGAGTCCGCAGAGAACCCCAGGCCGTGAAGGTTCACGCTTGAAGTTGGATCACCAATCATCGGCTCTGTCTCGTTTGTCACGCGCACGCTCGTCAATATAGCGCGCGAAAATCAAGAGCCCAGGAAGCTTGTCCTGGCAATGCTGCTTCATTTTCGGTTCTGATCAGGGCGCCGCGGAAAGACAGCTAAAGTGGTTCTTGCCGCATGGCCATGAAAGACGTTTTCAAGGCCAACGTCGAGCCGACTTCGCCATCGCAGCGGGATGGCGCGCACAAGTCGAATGGTGGAGTTGGTGCAGATACTGCGCGTGTTCACGGCGGCTCTTCTGAATACTATTTGTCCATCCATTCTGCCGTTGCGGGGCCATGTGGCTGCGCAGCGCGGCGCCAAGTTTGGTGCGACTACTGCTTCTCAGCTGCAGCCTACGGCCATGGAGATGGATGGTGCTGCTGGTGCTACTGATACCCAAGACGGATACAACGATGTTCTTTAGCGCAAACAGGATAAGGTCAAGTCTCTTGAAGCTAACCTGGGTGCGCCGTCACTCAACGCCAGGTGTTCTCTGCTGGCGTCGAACGGCTGCGCGTGGAGGTGCACGCTGGGAAGCCCCCACATGCACAATCGCACCCCGTGGCACAGAAAACTCGGACGCAAAAGCTCGCGGAGGAGGCCCGTGGGCAGCATGGCGAAGCTAAGAAGCTGCTGCCGGACATGGGGACGCAGTTGGGTAAGCTCGAGGGCCTTTAACCGCAGGCGCCCGACCCTTACTGAGAAGAGGGATGCGCTCGCGGCGATTCTTGGTTTCTCCGTTGACCAGCTTGGCGAGTAGGTCTCCAAGGCCGTGGAAGGCGACGACGTGTCAGCGGCCGCCCTGGCCCAGTTGCCCATGGGTATCTGTGGAGCGTTGCGAGAGCTTTTCGCTTAGAAGAAGCGCGAGATGGATAATGGTCCTACTTCGAAGGTGCCCAAGTCACCTGATGCAGGTGGCGCTGCGTTGCCTTTTTTTTGTCCGTCTGCGCCTTGCGGCGGCGTTCTTGCGGCGGCCCCCGAAACGTGGCGACCTCATAGCGAATGTGCTGTTCAACTACGTATGTCCTTGGGTTTACTGCATGTGCTGAAGGTTATGAGGATGAGGTTCGCGAGGAGATTGGGCTGCTGGCTAAAAGCGGCCATCGCCCATCGGCATGGCAGCGTTAGACCCCGATTCCAGGATTCGGCGTGCACTCTCTTTGCTTTGCTTGGTTTGCCTTCATGGCTGAGTCTGCGGGCACCCCCGCGCGGCCCAGCGTCGCCTCGCGGGGCTCAATCGAGCCGCGCTTGGAGGCCTTCGACCAGGAGGCGTTTGTTGTTCCGATTCAGGAGCATCATGGATATGGCACGGAACTCAGCGCGCCGCAGCACCAGGTTCGCGATCGCGGGCGCGATGGGATTTGAAATCCCGCGGCCCCGTCGGAATCATATTCAGGGGGAGCGGCGGTCTCGGCGCGATTGCCGATTCCGGTCGCTGCTCGCCCGCTTGCGTTTAGCCCGAGCCCAACTCTGATGCCAGACAGGCTCGCGGCATCTCGCGGCTGCGCGCGTGCATTCGCGCGCGTGTGTGTGTGTGTGTGTGCGTGTGTGTGTGTGTGTGTGTGTGTGTGTGTGTGTGTGTGCGTGCGTGTGTGCGTGCGTGTGTGTGCGTGGGTGCGCGCGTGTGCGCGTGTTTTTTTTTTTTTTTTGGGGGGGGGGCGTCGCCGCATTGCGCATCTACTTGCAGGACTCCGCCGGCACGGGCGATGCTAATCAGGGAGCGACGTGGCAAGTGGCAAGTACACTGCTAAGGTAACGGCGGCCCAGTACGATTGGAGCTGGCGGTTTCAACGTGAGTGGAGACCAATTGGATGTACCTTTCCTACACAAACTGGATGGCCCCTTGGCTCTACCTGCTGGTTTCGCGTGCCGACCGACTAAGGTGGAACGGCACTATTTGACGGATTTGCTGATGGTCTCTGCCGATCTGCCGACGTCGCTGCCAGGATTAGGGAGCCTGCGGTGCAGGGGGCTTGTGCGACATCACCGCGTCTTCCGGTTCCTGTCGAACTGCTGGTTGGTGACCTGGTCCTGCGTCCATGGAGCACCCCCGCTCTGCCTCGGCCAGGATGCTCGCTCGGCGTTGACATTTGCGGCGCGTTGACAGCGCCAATGCGAGCGAGGGGATGCGTGAGGCCCTGGGTGCAGCGATGTCTTGCGTGGGGCGTGAACTGTTGGATCGCTGTGAGTGGATCGGACGTGGCAGGTCGGCTTCTGTTCCTCGGGCCGGTGAGCATCGGGTTGATTCGTCCAAGGTGCGCCGGCAAACGTCTGCTCGTCGCGCGCGCATTGGCGCCGCGGACGTTGCCCGCAAGGCGGCGGCCCGCTGGGCCAAGAACTCGACGTCAGCACCCGCGCGCGCTAGCCGTTGCGCGCGTGAGCTGCGCGCGACGAATCCCATCATCCAGTCGGGGCCCCATGACTACAGCGAGGCGGCGCAGTTCTTGAGCAAAGCGGCGGCCAACGGCCGCAGCATTGTCTTGTGACAGGCGGGTCCTTTACCATCGGCGGCCCGCGGCGCGGGGGTCTCTGGCTTGAACGGGGCGGCGTTTAGCAGGCGGCGCTCTATTGCAGGTCATCTGGTCGGTGCTCGTTCAGGCTCCTCTTCTTTGACGTTGTACTCGGCTACTCGCCGGATTGCTGAGTGCGACCCATTTTTCAGCAACGCGTGATATGGTGGTTCGCTCTGTTGGCTGGATCTGGCTGGATCATGGATGCTTACGGATCGCTTTCCCGTTTGCATCATGCGTGGTCGTCAGCGGCCACCAGTGAGCTATATTATGGTGAGTCTTGGCGGCATGCGAGGGGTTCGATTGGGGCAGTGACTCTTCGCTCATAGAGCCTCAGATCGATTGTGCATCCGTCTGCGGTTCTTACCTCGATTCAGAGTTAGCGCATTTCGCCAGTCGCCGCCGCGCGGATGGATGTTCGCGAGCTGTTTTATCAAAGTACTGCGCGATAGCTGTCTGCTCGCATCACGCAAGGAGTTGACCTGCGCAATGGTGACCAGTCCTGGCCGTGGATGCGCGTCGTTCGCGTTCGCGCAGGTGGGCCACGCTTTGCAGTTCAGGGCCCATCGGCTTCTTCTTTACGGGCTCATCGGCCAGGCACGCAGAGGACACAGTCGCAGCGTCATGGCAGCTGGGCTTCTCTCGTCGCCACAGCGCTTGAAGTGTAGGGCTGCGTCAGGCATTCCTGGCCATAGGTTTTGCGGCTGTGAGCTTCTTCTTCGCCCCGAGGAGGTGGTGCCCAATCGGTTGCCGGCAACGTGTGAGTCTTTGTAGGATCAGGGCCTCGAGGTGCTGAGTGTTCCTTCCTGGGATCATCTCGAATTGGGTGTTGCGCTGCTTCGTATGCCTCCCGAGCTGACCTCTCACAGGCAACGTCGTCTTTACGGGTGGATCAGGTTTCTCTTGCCTGAACTTTTTCGCTGCGGCTGGGGTTTCGTCGTGATGAGCCAGGCTGGCCTTCCCATGCGAGGGGCCCATGGCCCTCTCCCTGGATTGCTAGAACGTTTTGCAGTGCTCTTGGCCTTTCGGCTATTGTGGGAATTTGAGTGTGTGTGCACGTATGCTGGCCCTCTGCGAAGAAGGCAACACCTGGCCTGATGTTCTGGAGTCTGCAGCGGGTGCTCATGCCACTACCTGGAGGCAGATCAAGCTCGTGGCTGGTCACTGAAGGCCAAAGTTTCCCTGGGCGCCCTCGCGTAAGTCATTGGCCGAGCATGGTGAGATCGGCATGCCGCGCATGTTTGTTCTAGGTAATGTGTGGGCTGACTGGCTTGCTCGCGGGGTGCGCTGCAGCATCGGGACCGCCAGATCTACGAGGACTTCCATCAGTTCGAGTACCAAGAGTGCCTGCCGGCGGCGCGACGTACGGCTCGGGCCACGCGGCGCATTTTGTAAAAATAAAAAGCAAACTCTGCTGGGATCAGATCAGATTCCAACGTGAAGCCGGCGGCGAAGGCTTATCCTCAGCCCAAGTTGTTGTTCGTCCCATGTCTTGGTGCGGATGCCATCTCATGGTTCTTTGATGCATCGTCTCTGCTGCAGGTCTACCACGGCGAGCGCTGGGCCCACCCTGGCTCATGCATTGCGATCGGATTGCAAGCCCACCGTCTTCGACTGGCTCAGGGCTGAGGTGCATATCTCTAAGCATGG